ATGAGTTGTGCTATTCCTTAGATTATAGTGATGCCGACATATCAATACTCACGGAGACTTCGCTCTATCCTGAAGTAACCAACGAGGAACTGTCCACAAATAAAGACAACTTTAACATATATCGACGTGAACGTGTCGATAGAAGAGGAGGAGGCGTCCTAAGAGCAGTAAAAAAGAGAGTGTCATCAGTTCCCCTTGATACTAACCACTCTACAGAGATAACTTGGACTGCATGCTTTACAACTTACGCAACAGTACTTATAGGAGCATGTTATCGTCCACCGGATGCCCATAACTCTTTCCCCAAAGATCTACGTGACAACATAGAACGAGCTACGCAACTCTATTCAGCTGACGTTATATAACCTTTGGCGATTTCAACTACCCGCTCATATATTGGTTTACCATGACTACCTCATGTCACGCCTCATCAAATTTTCTCGAAGTAACCCTTGATTATAACTTATCACAAGTTGTTCACCAATGCACCCCTGGTACTAACATACTTGACCTTGTTTTCACTAATGCACCAGAAACCACTGGAGCGATTTCTTACACAGAAGGATCTAGTGACCACAGGCTCATTAGCTTCCAAATCAACCTACCTCTAACTTTCACAAGCTCATTGACAAAAACAATCCGGGATTATAACCGTGCTAATTTTCATCAATTCAGGACGAACCTAGAAGATTTTTATCAGAAACTTTTTTTGGTGTCGTTTGCCTTTCGAACCGCGAAAGAAAACTGGATTCTTTTCAAAGAAAAATATTAGAGTTAGTTGACCAGCTTGTGCCGCTGATCTCTGCATCCAACAATAAAACTAACCCTTGGTTTACTAAACATCTTCAAACATTACGAAATAAAAAGAAACATTTCCATGATACCGCAAAACGCATTGGCTCTGTGTCCTACTGGCATAAATACAAGGTCTGCTTACAAGACTATTGTAAAGGCTTAGACACAGCTAAGAAGAAATACTATTCGCAGGACTTGCCGGTACTTCTCAAAAATAACCCCAAAAAGTTCTGGCAAATATTTTCACCCTACAACAAGTCTCCTAATCACATTACAATACACGATAATGAACTAATGCCGCTTTCTGATGAAGCTTCCGCTATTGCTTTCATTGAGTACTTCACCTCTCTTTTTACACAGGAAGATTGTTCCAATGTACCATTTGTTCGAGATCGAGCTTTCGCTTTAATGGCCCCAATCATTGTCACTGCCAAAGGTATAGCCCATACTCATCACGAATTCTAAGGTTTATACTTCATCAGGCATTGATAACATTACCTCTAAAATACTGAAGGACACCACAGATATCTCAAGCCGTTTTTTCTGTCTCCTATTTAAGCAGTCGCTATCATCAGGTGAGCTGCCCAAGGATTCAAAGATTGGTAAGGTGAATCCCGTATTTAGGTCCGGTGACAGGCACTTGCCCCGAAATTATCGACCCGTTTCACTTACATGCATATCTTGCAAACTACTTGAACATATCGTGGATTCTCATATCTACGATCACCTTGAATCAAACAACTTCTTCTTCTCCCATCAGCATGGCTTTAGAAAAGGCTACTCCTGTGACACCCAGTTATTCGAATTAACGACTGACCTTCACTTTAATATGTACGCTAACGAACAAACCGATTGCCTCTTCCTTGATTTCGCCAAGGCATTCGATACTGTCCCTCATTGCCGTTTAATATCTAAATTGGCCGCACTTCGTATTGATTCATCAATCCTGTCTTGGCTACGAACCTTCCTCGCTTCGCGTGAGCAACTTACGGTGATCAACGATATTTCATCTAACCTTTTCGACGTCACATCCGGTGTTCCCCAAGGCAGTGTAATAGGTCCGTTACTTTTTCTAATATACACTAATGATTTGACCGATAACCTTTCATCTACAGTTAGGTTGTTGGCTGATGATTGCGCCATATACGGCAACATTAAAAGCTGTAATGATCATTCCGCTCTCCAAAATGATCTTGGCCTAACCTTCCAAGGGTGCGAAACTTGGCAGATGTCCTTTAACGCCTCTAAATGCAAGTTAACCTCGTTCACTCGAAAGCATACGAATTCAGCACTTCACTATAAGATTAATAACGCCGCTGTGTCAGCTAGGATCTTTCCAGGACTACGCATATAGCAGCTGTCTCATCGAAAGCCTCTCAATCTCTCGGATATCTCCACAGAAACTTGCGCAACGCTCCTTCTAACGTAGGCGCATTATCATATATTACTTATGTTCACCCACAGCTCTAGTATGCATCGTCCACATGGTGACCATATCAAGATTACCTGGTACGTATGTTGGAAGCCGTCCAGAATAGGGCAGCGAGATTCATCTCCGAAAACTACGACTATCATTCAAGCATTACCATAATAAACAAGACCTTGCATTTGACTCACTAGGAATGCGCCGTAATATTGCTCTTTTATGTCTGTTTCATAGGTAAATTTATGGTAACGAAATTCGCTGTTTGCCACTTTGATATCCAGCGCGCACTTCCCAGCGCATTCACAATGCCCGTAGTTTTATGCGCATTCATGGTCACAGGCAGGCATTTCACTTATCATTACTACCTCAAGCCATTGCATATTAGAACGGTCTTCCGGATAATGTTGTATTGATTTGTAACCATGAAATTTTTCGTGATAACCTGATTTCGCTGCACTCTAATATTGTATAACGCTTGTGCACCTTGATTTTTGTAATCCTTTACAAGTATATATATATATATATATATATATATATATATATATATATATATATATATATATATATATATATATATATAGTCTGTTTTTCTCCTTTATTGTTATTTCGTTTGTATACTGATGCCCCCCTGACTCAATGCCCTTCAGTGGACCTGTAAGGTATTTTGAATAAATAAATAAAAACTCCTTGATACGGCAGTCACGTCGGGTTAACGTCATTCGTGGTTAGTTGTCATGCGCTTAAGTTTATTTATGTAGCAGGGTCCACGGCCAGTATAATCACGAGCATCAGCGCTTCATGTTAGCTTCGAGTGTTGCTATTGCTCATGTTTCAGATGGCATCCTTGAGCTAGTGCAAACAAGTCGTTGTATAAACATCGGCCACTCTTCAACATGTGTCGGTGCGTGCAACATTTGTACGTATATTTAGCGTAACTTCATAACGTCTCACTCAATAACTAAATTGCAACAATTCACCTTCCATCCGCGTGCTTCGCGTAATGTCTATTCCCAGGTACGTGTGATCTACAAAACTTTTTTAGTTCTGTTTGGTTGTAAATGTGTGTGTGAAGGGGGGGGGGAGGTGGCTTTATACAGAGCTCTACTGGCTATAGCGGTTCTTCTAGCTAGGTCCAGGGTTCCTATTTAGAGAAATCCGTATGGGCGTTCACTATGGAAACACTCTTTCTGCGATGAACTCTGCACACACAAAGAACGCGCCTTCACAGGCTACGAGAGGTGCTCGTGACGCAGCAGGCAGAATCCGCTAGCGAGTTTTGGGTCTCGCGCTGCCGCAGCGTTCACAAGTCACCCTCTATACAGTATCTTTACGGCGTAGGGCCCTTCCTGCGCACCCGGTGCGTCAGTTTCGGTTTGGTCCGCATCAAGCGCTGGAAATTCGATGATGGATCTTTGAAGCTACACGGGTTATTTTTTTTTTAAATTTAGACTGGTCGAAATTTGTGACGTAAAGTGATTTCGTCGTATAAGCAACGAAGATTGAATAATTTTGTCAAATAATCATTTCTGAGGGACTTATTTTTGGGCAAATCTTTCCACTTCGACCTACGACAACAATCGCCCAACTACCATAGTTTTTTTTTAATGAAAAACTCTGGATTGATTAAAAAAAAGACACCCTGTATATAGGCACTAGACCGTGACCTGATATGAAGTACCGGTAAGAGATTGCTTATGTGCGTAATTCAATAAATATTTATAGCGTGTTCGTTAACCAAAAGTGAACTCAGCGTTTCTATGTTTAATAGGAGCCTCCCGTTTTGGGGGGCGAATTATCTGAAGGTCTCGGCGTGCTGGTGGGCCTCGTTTGCAGCACAGCAAGTGAAATCTGGTATGGTGACGGTTAATCTATTGAATAAAGCTGGTTGCGCCTAACGTAAGGCGCTTGGCATATGGTGAGAAAGAGAGAGAGCAAACTGCACGTTGAAGCACAAGAGGGTCACCTATACCAGAAACACAAAGAGGGGGTAAAGGAGAGAGACAATAAGTTAACCATATGAACTGAGATAGCTACGTATTAGATGATTGCAAATAAAAATACATTTGCATACAGCTGAAACAAAATCTGTCTTTTGTCTGTCATTGCCCATTTGAAGCGATTGCCATGTTCCAATATAGGAGACCCCAGTTCATCACTGCCTGCATCCCTCTCCAGGTTTCATGCTAATGGAACTCTTTATGGCTTTCTGTTCGAGTAACACGATACTTTGTGTAGCGCTAAAGCGTGATATATCTCACCCCCCCCCTCCCTCTAAATATCCAGTGTTGGCACATCTTAAATCTGTATGCAGGAATGCTTCTTGCGAATTTGACGGTCGGGCTGATCACTGTCGTAACGATGGCGAATGGTAAAGAACATTTTATTTTTTATTTCGCAGATTGTTTTGTGGCTGAACGGGTGTATTGAAATATTCTCTATCATTGCTGTATCGTTGTTTTTTTTTGTTACTTTCACCTTAGTGCGACGTTAATTTTCTATGCATGATTATTCGAGTCAGAAACACTTATTCGAGTAAAATAACTCCTGCTAAGGGAGTTTACATTTAAGACTTGAGTGGTAAAGGACATGTCGAATGATAAAAACAAGCATTTTGGCTAAAATGTGTTTACAGTGATCGATGTTGGAGAAGAGATAAAGGTGGTGGCGGCCGAACTAATACAAACCCTCTGAAAACGCAGAAAAGTATTCCGATGTTCCAAAAGTATTTAGAGTCACGTGGAATACTCTCTTCCATCTGGTTCTTCAGAGCAAACGGAGCTTCAAAATGTTTCATTTATTACTGCGGAACAGGAAAAAAAACAATTGTTGAATGGCAATTTCTTAATGAATAACAGCACTCTGTTCTTTTCTAAAGCTACGTCAGGTCTTGCGGCGATTCTTGACAAGGTCCCCGTGGAAATTCTTCAGGCATTTCTGCAGGAAGCAGGAAAGAAAATGAATCGGTTCGGGTGTGCTGTAACAAGGGTCAACGTTAAATTTTTACGGACTTACCATGACATGGAATATGTATTTTTCACACTTATTCTGTGTCGTATATGCCAACCGTGTAACTTTTGCCTTTTAAATAGAACGATGTTCTTTGCGTCCGTCTGCTGTGCTGACGTACATGATGTGGCAAATGCTTGCGCTAGATTTACCCCTGCCTAAATTCCTAGCTACCTGCGGGCAATTGTGTGTAAATGATTACAAGCCAGCGAATTGCCCGATTTCTTTGCAAAATCGTGCCTTTGTGGCCAACATTGTGCTCTAGACATACTCCAAGAGTGAACAGCCGAAATCAGTATTATCGGATGGTTGCAAAGGAGTCAAAAGTGTGGTTACACACTGCGTTCTTCGCGGTCAGTTCAGGAGCCTAACCTAATAACTACTTAAAACTTTGCAATTATTTTTGAGTTGTTCACATGGCATTATCAATAAAAATTTCCACTTCTGGTATTTAAACATCACTCAAAAATATTTGAAGCACTGATATGTGGTATTCACCATTCTTGGGAGCTTCTTGTCGCACTTTACTCCAGTCCTCCTTTGTGACCATCCATTTTCAGCCTTTTAAACTCAATTTTTTGTCGCAATGTTTTTTTCTTTTTTTGCCATTATGAGGTGACGGGAGCTAAGACTTATTGCAAACTTAATCCGTTTTAAATGCAAATGCATTTATTAGTCGGGCTATGTCAGGTGTCCGTCGGGGCCCGTACTCCGACATCCTCTTCCATAGCAACAGCTTCGGGTGCGCGCGTGCGCTCGTTTTAGCCACTAGCAACCGGAGCAGGTAGCGCGAGAGAGCGTAGGAGACGGTAGGTGAAGTGCGTCACTGTTTCTTTTTGTCGCCGTTCACTCTCTCCCCTACCTGCTCCACTTCCCCGTCCACTCGCACTTCACTCCCGATCGTTTAATGGCGTGGAGCCTCTTGAGAGCATCTGGTTATGTGTGCTCAAAGCGCCGCTGTGAAACGGCAACGCCGAGCTGAGAAGGCTGTTTTGTTTCTTTCATAGGATTTTCTTAACCATGCACGCTAGCTACTAGAGCTGAAAACGCATATCACGACAGAAAAATGCCACTTGAGGCACAGGCGCTATTGGCTGCAACTTGTAATAATAAAAAAGAAAACAATATTCTTCTAACACTGGGTTTTCACGTGTGAAACCCCTTTATGAATGCTGAGCAATGCCTCCGCATTTTCTCACGATTCCCTTAGGAGAGGTGGGGGCATTTTTTTAACTACGGCGAATTTTAAACGCTTCATTGCAAAAGAATACGACACAACACAAGCACGACAAAAACATATCCATTTTGCTACTATCATCCTGTGTTGTCGTTTGGCGAAGGTCTTATGTTTTGCTCTCGAAATTTGTGTTAGCTTCAGCGTGCCTTGCCAAATATGAAGCTTTATGTATCTAATTTTCTTGTATACATCTTTGCTCGATAACGTAAACAAAGTTATGCAGTGAATGTAATATGGCGTTGGAGGTGTCTTTTCTTATCTCTTGTGTCTGCTTTTGTACTCCCTGCACCTCTTGCACTAGTAGACGTCACACTCTGCCCGTTGCGCTACAAAAATGTCGCCACAAGCGCTCTCACCGTTGACCTGAAGCTAACTGGCTAGTGCAAAGAGAGCAGTCTACAATCTAATTTACTAAATAGGCGACGATAGACGCGACATGTAGTTTCTTGAATGTCATGGACGTGGCAAGCTTGTTCTGTCTATTGACCCTTCCGAAATGTGGAAAGCTAGTGAACAACAAGCAGGTGAAATGAAAAAAAAAAGGCTCTTTTAAAACGAGTGCGCGTTCTCAACAATCATTCACGCTGACACTGGGAGGCCTATAGCTGCCTCTCTTTGAATACGTCATTTTTCTCTTTCGCTCCTCTTGCCCCGCAACGGTGGTCTAGTGGCTAAGGTACTCGGCTGCTGACCCGCCGGTTGCGGGATGAAATCCCGGCTGTGGCGGCTGCATTTCTGATGGTGGCGGAAATGTTTTAGGCCCGTGTACTCACCTTTGTGTGCACGTTAGAGTACCCAAGGTGGTAAAAATTTCCGGAGCCCTCCACTACGGCGTCTCTCATAATCAAATAGTGGTTTTGGGACGTTAAACCCAACAAATCAATGAATGTTTGGGTCCTCGTCCGCTTTTCATAGCGTCTATGATTGCAAGAACGTTGCTGGCAGGAATAAACCAAAGAAACATGGCTGCTTCAAGCTCGGGGTGACACATCGATACATGGGGAAGAAAAAAAAGCAAACAAGGTTAATTCTTTCGTAATAGGAATCGGTATAACACGAAAGGGAAACGTGTCCTTACCAAAGTGGTGAAGTGCTTTCAGTACATCGATATAAGAGAGCTTATACAATGATTGTTGATGTTCGACAGATACAGCATCGTTTTTCGTAAAGGCATCTACGTTGATGCTTATTCTGGTTTTGTCGCTAAATCTGATGCTGTCTTGTCATGACAAAAATCTTCTGAAAATTTCTTTGAGTATGATGCCAAACTCTTTCTGCAGATACCTATGGAACACCCCGTATACCAGGGGCCACGGAATGTAGGTATGCATCACAGGTGTCTGACACTTTATATCTACTGAAGAATGGCGAGAACAAACGTTGGCACTTTAAAAGCAAGAGTCTAGAAAATAGATATCTGCAGCGCTCACTGGACTAATTCAAAAAATTTGTGATACTATCTCAGCAGGAATTGAGCCAAAGTAGTCTGCACGGCACTCAAGCCACGCAGAGTCAACTCCTTTCGAATGTTCGCCAACGACCATCCTGATTAAACTCGTGCTCTTCAGACCCAACCCGGTATCGCTTACCTTCGACATCTTGGCATTTAAATGTACGCCACCTGCTTCTCCGGCTCTTTGTAACTGCTTCATTATTTAAAAGTAGGCCACCTGCTTCTTCCCTTGTTTGTAATGGCTTTCTTCTTGTGCATCCCATCCGTAGATATTCGGAAACAGGCTTACGCCTTTGTCGTCGGCAACCCCTTGTAGTGGCTGTACGCGGTGACCGTCTGTCGGCTTCAAACTTTCAAGCTCTTTCGTTCGTTCCTGTCTGAAGCGGCCACCGGTTTGCAGCATATCGATCCTACGGTGCGTGTTTTTTTCTTTTACTTTTTTACCCCTCTTTTCAAGAACACATTGAAACACTACCGACTAGTGGTATATAAATCGAGGACTGCCCTCATCTGCTTTATGATTTTTTTCAGACGGCGATTATCAACAGGGACACGCGCCACCACCAGGAGATGACGTCACTACTAACCTACTTAAAACTAACGCGACAACGATGACACGGCGCCTCTGACAAAAATAGGTCCTGCTTTCAAAACGTCAGCCAGTTTGTCTGAGGAGCTTCCCGTGTTCACCCTGATTAGCCCACTGATGTTGGGCTTGGCGTCATTCACCTGCTGTACGCAACTGGTTATAAAAGATATGTGACCATTAAACATATATGTAGGCACAGTTTAGTTTTGTGCATATGCTTGGCACACTTTCGCAGATTTCCTTAACAAAAAAGTACTTTCCTTTTATACACTTTGCATGAAACGATTTCTATGGCACATGAAACCTGGGAATTTTCGGTGATATATTATGAAATCTGCCACCATCAATTCATCCTAAGTTTTTCTCCAATGACTACTATTTGCCATATTATAAAAACATTTGGTACTCAGTCCACTCTCGAAAAAGACCTTGACCTAATCTTCGGGGTGCAAAACTTCACAGATGTGCCTTAGCTTCTCTAAATGAAAATAATGTCGTTCCCTAGAAAGTGTACTAACTCATAATTTTGCTATGAAACTAATAACTCCACTACATCAGCCACCCATCGTACTAATATCTCCATATTCACTTTTCATTTCATTTTTCCTAGACAAGGCTTATAGCAGATGTCTCATTAAAATCCCCCTATATGTCAGCTGTCTCTGCGGCATTAAGTGATATTTCTGAGAAAGATGGACACACCGTTATTTAACTGCAATCAGGTGCAGCAATCATCTGACATGTTGACGGCTACTTCATTTTTTTGTAAAAAAATGTTCTGCAGTGAATTCTGACTGAGTCATAGCACGCAATCATACTGAAGGCAGAGGTCTTCTGCCGACCTTTGATGTCCAAAAGATTAAAAAAACGCAGCTTATAGACGTTTGCCTGTTCATCTAGAAAATCATATTTACCACCGATATGATCGCCGGTCTGCGATGCCTGCTCTATATCACTCGTGTGGTCATTCGAAGCTTGTAAAACGCGAAATCATGTGGTTCCATGCCTACGTTGAGCCTTTGATAGATCCTGCCCTAATTCATAGCTTCAGAGTGCTCCTGTATATAGTGTAGTTAAGGCAGCTCTTAGTTGTTTCATTCTAATTCTCCTCAATCGCATTAGTGTCTGAAATGTTGTTGCGGCAAGTAAAAAATGATGAAAAATGTTCATGTTTTTCTTCTGGATGCACTCAAAAAAACAAATACGTGGTAAATCTTGTACATTCACAAAATTGTGCAAGAAATGTTAAAATTGATGAAATGTTAGGTAACACATATTCTTACTTCGCGTAGTGTTTAAAATTAGTTTTGAGTTTGAGTGACGATATTGTTTGTCTTCATTTTCTTCCACCTGTTTTGTGGAGGTTTATTCTTCATCCGGTATTTGTTACTACATAGGCTCGCAGACTTTTAGACTAAGCGCAAACGAGGCGTAATGCATCCCTTAGTCAGCCCACAGTGTGGCCCCGCATGAGGACTCGTGATAACTGATAGCCACTTGATATGAGTGATTTCATGCGTATGCCGTAACAAGGAGCAACGTCACGACGTATGGTCTATGCTATCGAAGTGGTCGCGCTGCCTCAAGAGCTGCTGGGATATGTGCCGAGATCAGTCTTGTTGGATAAATTCCAGTTGAGGTAGAGGCCA